TCTTTCCTGTCCTTTACCCCTGCTGCTTTGGGGACCCCTGGAGCCAAAATTCTCACTCCTCCATGTTTTCATCCTCATCTGGTAGGGATTCCTCAGGCCTCCGCTCCCTGGAGGAGGGTCATCGGCTGTCTGACCTCTGACCCCCACCCCTTGTGTCTGCCATGGAGACCAAGTCCACAAAGTCCATGGAGACCAAGACCAAGTCTTGATTAGCCTGGAAGCTGCCCTCCTGGGCCCAGCAATCAGAATCTTCTGGGCCTTGGGGCTAAGCCCTGCTGAGTCTGTCTGGCTGATCCAGCCCCATCCTGTAGGGCAGAGCTTCCAGCTGGATATGCGTGTGACCACGTGGGTAAGATACGCTGGCGACCACACTTGCTGCTTCTCAGTTTAAGTGACACAGGGAAATGAGTGCTTTGCACAGGAACAGCGTGCTGCAGGCAGGGGACTTCGTGGAGCTGAAGTTCTGGGGGCCTTGGTAGCACTGGCAGCTGCTGGGGTGCCAGGGCCTCAGCCCTTAACCCACATGACTGGGCAGAAAGAATGACATTCTTTCCTTGGTTTGTAGCTTAGGACACAGTCGTGTGCCCACTGCCCGTGCTGGGCTGAAGTTCAGTCTTTGCCAAAGTAGAGACTCTTCTGGGGCTCTCTGACCTCTTGGGTGCAAGGCGTCCTTCTGCGGGGTCCTCTTCTTGTCTTCAGCATTGTTCCTGTGGTGTCCGGCACCTCTGTAGCCAAACTGCTGACCTCTTCTGGGTCCTGACTAGGGCATGTGGCAAGGTTAAGATGCGACTGTGTTCTTCCTTCCAAACCTGAGCCTGGCTGCCTTTTCCTGGGGGTGTGGGTTTTGCTCCTGGATTTGGTCTCTTGCTCCCAGATGGCTCTGGGACATGAAAGCTGGCTGGTCCATCCCCCCTCCCCCACCGCTGCTGAGTGTACGTTTCCCAAGACACCAGAGTTATGGGTTTCCCACAGGCTGCCAGGCTGAGGTCAAGGCCAGGCCATGAGCCCGGGAGACCTGGCCCCATGCACAGTCTTGATTCAGTGTCCCGCCAGCAGCTCCTTCCAAGCACTCTCACGAGGGGAGCCTCTGCCTCTCAGGAGGCACTTCCTGTCCACGCTCAGCCTCCAGTGGCCCTGGGGCCCCATGGCTGTCTTCTGCACTATCAGGGTCCGGGGTGATGCACAGACGTCCTTCCACCTTGTCGGTTGTTCACACCTGTCCCTAACCCAATCCCCACATCCCCTTCATGACTGGATCTTTCTAAGTCTCTGTACCCCTGGCCCCAGATGAGCAAAGCCGTCACACTTCAAAAACCCAACCCCTGATCCTCACAAATGTGATCCTGCTAAGCACGTCCGCAGCCTGAATTCCACAGCTCTCACCCAGGAGCAGACGGCACAGTCCTGGGGGTCTGTCCTCGGAAGGCCTTTAGTGGGGACTCCGGCTCAGAAGGTCCTCTCCCTACCTGGCTGTGGGCTCCATGAGACTCTCACAAGGTCTCCTTCGGCCTGGGAGTCCTCTCACTGCCTCAATCCATACCCCCCAGCCCCGTTCTTCACCCCAGCTTCTGTCCCCTGGGAGCGCCCTGTGCCCCTCAATTTGGGAACCGGGCCTCACCCGGGTGTGTGCCCATTTCCAGCAGCTGGTGAGGCCACATACAACACCAGGACAAATCAGGTTTCGGCAGACCTCCTGGAAACTCAAGAAAATCCAACAAAGCAACCTGGGAACCTTGTTGGGGGACCCAAAGAGCTCAGCTCCAGGGCTCATCGCTCGCACTGCCACGGGCCTGGTCAGAGGCAGGTGCTGGGGGGCCTTTGTGAAGCGTCTCAGACCTCTTCAGCGCACTTACGTTATCGACCCTTTCTTTGTCCCCAGCATTTAAAACAGCCGGGGACCCGGCTCCATTTAAAACAAGCTGGCCAGGAGCTGGCAGGGAAGCAGGGTGCGGGAGGCCTCTCAGTACTGTGGTTAAGGGCAGGGAGGGTGGCTGGCGCCGTCGGGAAGGGGGAGGAAGGTGCGTGGCCCCCGAGGGTCACACGTGAGAGGGGATGGATGGTAACGGACACAAGACTAGGAAGCAGGCCCAGGCCCGACAGCAAGGGCCTGGTTACAGACATCAGAGCACGGGACGAGGGGTTCAAAGGAAGCTCACAGAAGCCTGAGAGGTCTGCTAACCCTCAGAGCCGCCTCAGCCATGCTCCCGTCTTCGCAGCATTCCTGCCCTCCTCCGGCTCCCATTGTCCCCACCTCCAACCCTGGAGGTCGGGGGAGCTTGTGGGCGCCCCCGTGTCGGGCAGCTGTAGCAGCGATGGCACAGTTAGCTAGGGAGCACATGAGGCTGGAACTGCTTGGGAAAGAACTCCAAAGGGGTCAGGGACACTTTCCATCTGAAACACACCAAGCACCAGAGTCCCTATAGCGAGGTGGCCCGGACCCTTCACACCTCAGGCCCCAGCCCCGTCTTTGGAGACCCCGCTGCTCGCTGCTGGACGGACCCCTGTCCCCAGGGACGCCACAGGCTCCCTGCACCCACCCGGCACCTCACTTCCCATTCCATCAGAGGCCCACGCCTCGGCGCGCCCCACCCCGCCCATGCCTGGAGGGAGAACAGGCCCGCAGTCTGGGTTCTTCTGGTCCCTGCTGCAGGCATTTGGGCTTAAATAAAAGAGGGCTGCAGTTCACATCCCAACCCCAGGGCTTGCCCAGGCCGCGGCATCCTCCTCCAGAGCCTGGCAGTGTGTTCCCAGGGCAGCTCTGCCAAGGGGCTCTAGGATGCCAGCCCCACCCCTCTTGAGGCCGGATGTTTTTCCATGTGTTGTCACCCACCATTCATCCATTCAACAAATACTCATTCAGTCCCTGTGTGTGGAGGCCTTGTCCTAGACCCGAGGGAGGACCACAGCCAGCCCTGCTCTGCGGACTTTCTCTGGAGGGGAGACAGAGTCGGTTGGGGAACAGCCTCATTCCTGTTTTTGGAACTCATCTCTCCCCCTGGGCTCTTGGGAAGGGAAGGGGGTCAGGAAAGGGTAGGGAAGGGTGGGCACTCCCGGGGAAGGGCAGCTGGCTTCCGAGGCCTCCGGGCACAGCCTGTCTGGTCTCTGATGGAATTCGCTGCCACCTCCCACCAAGTGCCCTGGACTTTCCCGGGATTACTGAAGGGGTTTGGGGAGCAGGTTGCAGCTGAGTTCTCTTCCTCTATTCCTCAGCCATTCTGTGCCTTCCCTAAAGGTGGTCTATGAGACCCGCCTGCCCCATCCCACCCCACTTGCATTTGCCAGCATCTTGGGCTAGCTCGGGCTTCCAACCTCCCAGAGCCTGGCTGTGGAGGCAGAGCCTCCCTCCTCCCCTGTTGGGACCCTGAACCCCACCTCTCCCTCCTCAGTCGTCCTCTGAGCTGAGTTTTGGGGGATAAGAGGGACTCTGGATGGTGTAGAAGCAAAGCCCACCCTGCTAGCTCTGGACAGCAGCCGTGACTCCAAAACCTCCTGGGTTTGTCTCCTCAGCCCAGTTCCCAGGTGCAGCCCAGCCGCAGCAGGGCCCCTCATGGTCACCCCACACCCTGGCAGCCTGCTCGAGCCTTCTCTGCATTCTCCTGGTACCTGGAGGGTCCTGAGCTCTGCCCTTGGGGGAAATGTCTCTATCACACCCGTGGAGACACTCGCTGTTACATACAGCTGCTATGGAGCCACATCCCTGGCATCTTGTGCCAAAGAGGAAACCTAAGGCCTGAAGTCTCCAGACCTGTTTCTACAAGTTCCTGCCCCAAGTGCAACAGGAAATGTTCTGTGCTTGTCTGGTGACCACAGTATGTCCCTGTGAACTTCTGCCCTGGACCTAAAACTTCCCAACTGCAAAATTAGACACCTTCTGCACCTGCTGTGCCCAGACCCCTGCCCGGCCAAACCTCAGAGAATAGCAGCACCTACTATGCTTTGCCTCTGTAAGAGCTCCAGCCAAATCCCACTTCGCTCCTCTTTCTGCCTGCCCAACTAAAACAGAGATATAAACCCCAGTGCTCGGGGCCCAGACTTCGGAGAACTTATCTCCACTGGGTTAATAAAGAGCTTGGTTTTCTCCACCTCTTTGAATGGCCACTTGCAATTCCTGATTCCCACAACAGTGTCAGGGCTGTTCCCCAGGAATAAGAGGCTTATCCCCTTGCTGGAAAGAGGAAATAATGCCCAAAGACCTCTTAGAGTTGATGAAAGACGCAGCTCTGCTCAGACCACAGCAAAGTGCTTGGTGAAACAGGGGCTGCAGACGCCAGGTGCCATGTGTTGCTAGGGGGCTTGGGAGGTGGTAAGGGGCTAAAAACAGTGAGACCTCTGTGACCTGGCCCACGGGTCAATCCGCGGGGTAACCACCTGGAGGAGGAACGGGGATTAACAAAGACAGGGCAAGAGACAAAGAGAGACAGAGACAAGTTGAGGAAGTCCAATCAAGTCTCGTTTATTGAGGAAGTGGTCGCAGCTTTTATAGGGCAGGGGGCGGGCTGGTGGGACAGGAAGAGGCTACGGGGTGATCTCTAATGGGTCATCATCACGTTCGTGTACGTGACATGAGCAGGAGAGGATCATGGTTGATGTAGGCACACTACGTGCCCATATAAGGGAGAGGCGGGGAGACAGCAGCGGGGCGGTTGCACGGCTCCCTACGCCTCTGGGAGGCCCGGCCCCTGTTGTGCCTCTGCCCTTTGAAACCTGCCTTCTCCCTCAGTTTCCTGCCCCAGAATGGAAAGCTCATTGTGCCCCTCCAACAAGTAATGTATTGTACGGGTGTGCTTGCCTCATGACCCCAACATATGTAACCACAAAATGTGCCTCTGTAACCTCAAAGCATGACCAGCACGTCCTTCGTGTAAAATTCTGCTTTGCATAGATGCCCAACCTAACCGAAACAAGAATATAAAAGCCTCCCCTGCCTGCTAATCAGGGCCAGGAGTACTTAGCATCTCAGGTCGGCTAACCCAATAAAACGGAGTCTTTCTCCTCCTCAGCTCCTCGCACCACCAGAGGTCCCTGGCTCCTGATTTCTATAACAGCAGCCGTGAGAGGAAAGAGGACTAAGAAGACGTGATGGAAGAGAAGGACACCAGCAGACCCTGGAGAAGACAGTGCACGGGAAGGAAAGGTGGGGAGCTGCCAAACACCGCGCTCCAGACTTGCCCAGTCCCGTGGAAGGCACCCCGAGTGAGCCTCCAGGGACCCGTGCAAGTGAGCAGCCCTGCTGGCTGGGGGGCTGTCCAGAGAGACTGGGCGGTCCTGGCCTCTCCAGTCCTTTGGGCCCGAGCACTCCATGGGTGGAGGCCCGAGCACTTAGGGAATCAGACCCTTTCGTGGGGTGAGGCTGAAAGTGAGGAAAAGCCCTGGCAGCTGGGACCTGGGATCCCGTAGGTCCAGGGGGGCTCGCAGGAGAGGGGGAGGGGTGCGCAGGCCACCTCACTGGCTGGTGCAGGTGGATGATGAGGAAGTGGGGAGCAGAGGTGGCCCCAAAGTCCCACAGGGTCATAGTACAAGCAGAGTGATGGCACGCACCACGCTGCCTTCAGATTTGGGTCCATTGTGGGCTGAGCATGGCAGGACTGTCCCAGCCCCCTTCTTTACCATCAGGGCCCGCACCGTGGGACCAGCTGTGCACCCCAGCCCTCAGCTCCCAGCAGACGTGGTGCTCCTGGGGTCTTGGAGGCCAAATGCACAGGTTGGATGAGTAGCTCTTGGCTGCCATGGGGGTGGAGGGTGGGGACTTAAAGGGGCTCAGGGCAGTTTCCACTACAATAGGAGAAGCTGCCATTGAGCACTGAGCTGTGGGAAATTCTGACCACCACCAGCCCTGTGGACAGTGATCAGTAAGAAATGGAAAGGAATTGTTTCGAAAGTTGAGGGGCGATCATGAAATTTAGCCCCCAGTCAGAGAGGCCCCAGCGCAGGCGGCCCAGGACTCGGGAGAGAAGCCAAGGGTGACATTTTACATACTCGCAATGGCTGGTTTCAGGGGTTGCTGCAGAGTGGCAGTGGAAGTGAGTGTGTGTGTGTGTGGACTTGTGACAGGAGCCACGGCAGACTGGAAATTCTACAGGAAGGAAGAAAATAGGAGCGTGGTCCCCAGGGCTGGCTGACACACCCAGGGAGAAGCAGATGCTCCTGAGAACCACGATGCACCACTCTTCAGGAGCTGCACCCCATTTTACCGACTGTCCCGAATTATCCCCAACAGTTTCCAGAACTTTCTTCACCAGCTCTGCTTTTATCCATGAAGTACTCTCTGTGTGACCCTCTCCTCCTCGTTGATAGATAGAGGCGCCCTCCCCCCATTCTGGCTGCCGATGGTTTGGTTTGGATTTGACACCAGGGTGCGGTTTCACTTAAAACACACGACCACGGCTTCCTCAAATCCAGTTCTCAAATTCACAGGGAGGAACCTGACTGGGCGGCTCCCTGTCCAAAGGCCAGGCCCCGGGTGAAGAGAGCTCTGGGATCCATGGTCTCATATTCTGAGAGGGGGCCGGCCTCATTTCAGGTGAAGGAGCTCGGGTGAAATGGGGCCATTACAAAAGATAAAAATGAAAATCAAACCAACTATTTCAAGAGCAACCCTCACCCCCACACGAACCCTTGGGAATAGTTGAAAACCCGCAGAACAGAGCCATTAGGCCTGTGACAGAATGCGATGGAGTGATCAGGGCGAGGCCCACCCTGCAGGGGCTGCAGAAGGGACTGTCTGGCGTGGGAGTGGACACGGGGATCCCAGCACACACATCTCGACTGCTGACAGGTGTCTACCTAGGCCCCAGGCGACCCTGGAGGACAGGAGGAGGACTGTGACCCCCTTTCCCCAAGCAGGGCTTTCCTGCCCAATAGCTCACTGCCAGGCCAGCTCCAGGGAAGCTGCAGGGACACTGGCCAGAACAAATTTGTCCCCCAATTCTTGCCAGAACTTAACCAAGCCCTGGTCACAGCTGAGGTGCATGCATCATGTAGGCACCACGACTTTTGTTAGTGTCACTGTTAGGTCCCTGAGCTGGACCCCCACCCAAACAGGACAGCCTCACCAGCGTCACACCTTACCTGCAGGAAACCCTCTGCACCCCAGAACCCTGGTACAGGGAGCCCACAGCAAGCATTCTGCGCTCCTCGCTAAGCAGCAAAACCCACCAATGCCACCCTGCTGCACCCACCCTGGCATCACTTTCTCCTGGAAAGCACTAAAATGTTTACCTCTCTCAGCAGCACCCTCCTCCCCGCCCTAAACTCCCCTATATAAGGTCCGCCCTGCTCAGGACCAGTGCTCTTTTCGGCCTTGGTCTGGCTGCACCGGTCTGCAATGAAGTTACCGCTGTTTGCTCCGACCTCGCCTGCCCTGGTGGTCTCCTCGTGCCCCGGTGGGCCTGACATCCACACCACGTCAAAGCCCCCAGGGCCTTCCTCTGCTGGCTCAGACCTTGTTAGACCTCAAGAATGCTGAGCAAGCCCGGAGCTTCCCAGAGCCCTTGGGCCTGTCAATAAAAGGTGCCTCCCCCTGGGCGGCTGCGCTGCAGCCAGGCCAGGCCAGGGCTGCGCCCCTCACTGGCAAAGCCCAGCTGGGCCAGAAGCAGTTCAGAGGGGAGGCGGCGCTCGGCTCTCAGGAGGCTGCTGACTATCGCAGTGCTGCAGGTGGGGACAGGAAGCCCGGCCACTGCTGGGACGCTTGCCCTTTCCTGTTGGCCAGTAGAGGTACACAGTTGGTGGGAGGCGATCTAAACAGCAGCGGCCTGGAAGCCAAACAGAACTGGCGCAAGCAGCATTTCATTTTTGGGTTGGGTTGGAAGTCAAGTAGATGCAGAGTCATGAGTTCCGGTCATCACTGTTCAGACCAACCTCTTCTGCAAGCAAATAGTAATGTAGCCCAAAGCCAGAATGGCGCCAGGCCCACCCCAGCAGTCCCACCCGGCCCCGCCCAGAAGCGGCCCTCCCAGAGGGGAGTTGCTGTCTTGCGCTCTGACCCCTCAGGTGCCTCTTCTGGAACCTGATGGAAATAGCCGCCTGGGACGTGCAGTCCTTGCTCAACGGCTACGCTTCCAATCTGACACCCCCCAGTGCGTCCACTGTACCGTCCATGGCATTCACATGGTTCGACTTGCTTGTTAATCTTCTCTTTTTCTTGTTTCAAAGTCACTGTAAAACACGCTCCCATTTTCCAGACTCGAGAGCCCACTCGGGTCTCAGCAGCCACGCTTCACCTTCTCCCTCCACTGCCCGTGACACAGCCTGCCCGGAAGCAGCCCTCCGATGGACCTCAGACACTCGGGTTCCCAGAGCCTGCACTGGGAGGACCCGCCCTCCTCCTGCCCAGCTCAGCTCTCCCCCGAGCCGCCCTTGCCAGGGCTGGAGTGGCCACCTGCCGCCTTCTCAGCCTTCTTGCCCCCAGCAGCTATTCCATGAGGAAATGGAAGGCCGGAGCCCGGGGCCTGGGGCTCCTCCCTGCCTGCACTCTGTCATGGCACGGATAGAGCCTGCTTCTCTCCAAGGCCTGCCGGAGCCCGTGCATCCACCTTCTCCAGGACTGTTCCCTTCAGTCTTCCTCTTCCATCCAGAAGTGTCTATTGCCCCCTTGCTAGGACACCTCCCCCACATGCTGCTAACTGAGTCAATTTCCTTCCCTTCTGGGGACCCATACCTGCTCCCCTCACCACAGCAGCCACTGAGCTGAGCTCAGGGGAGTTTTGCCAAGCGCACGCGAGCCTGCCTGGACCCTTCCCTAAGGGTCAGCTCTCTGCTGAGGTGTCTTCCGGCTTCCCTAACTGCCTATTACCAGAATGAAGCGCAAAAACACCCTGGAGCCGAGGCCACGGCGGTCAGTGGGAGACGGGAGCTGCAGGGGCACAGCCACAGCCCGCAGCCGTCAGGTCAGCCAGGCAGGACACAGGACGTGCGTCAGTTAGGAAACAGAAAAGCTGAAAGTAGGACAACACAGAGCTGAGAGGCCCAGAGAGGGCGGCCGGGCGGGACCCCGGGAGGAGCCGGCCAGTCCACGCCCCCCCATCTTCCCTCCTGGGGACACTGGGCTCTCTGGCTGGCTGGGGCAAGGAGGTAGTCGTCCGGGTTGCCTTCCCAAGGGACGGGGCTTGGGGCAGATGGAGACCCTCAGGCCAGGGCCTTCCCTGGGAACAGCCCTGAAGGGGAACGTGTGAAGTCAGAGAGGCAGGTGACAGCCCAGTGCCACCAGGGACAGGAGAGGCCAAGTCTCATCAGTGACATTGCAGTGGAGACCAGGAAGGAAGCCTGGGGACCTGTGACATTCCTCCAGCCCAGTCCCTTCCCCTGCTGTGTCCTCTTTTTGTATGGCCCGGAGTCCGGCCATCCTCACGAGGCAGGACGGGGTGCAGGAAGGCCAGGGACTGTGCGGGGGAAGGAGACGCCTGGGAGAAAAGAAGTGACCGGGCGGGCGGGAGAACGGCTGAGGCAGAAAGCAAACGGCCACCAAAAGCAAATCCACGATCAGAGACGGTATTGCTGAGCTCAGAAACTGTCCTCAAGGAGCCCGCCAGAGCCTGGCTTCTTCCCTGCCATCCCTTTAAAATGGGGCACAGGCACAGGGAAGAGACTGACGCCCCCAGCCGGGTCACGCCCTAGTCACAGGGACAGCCCAGGACTGCAGACAAAAAGAGGCTGCCCGCGCCTCGGCGGAGGCCCTGGACAGGCAGGGAAGGTGGTGGCCCGGCCCACCTATGCCACCTGCAACAGAGACCGGCTCCGTGCCACGCGGGAGACTGCCAGGGGCATGGTTTCTCTTATATGAGAAACTCAAAGTACACGGGCAGGAAAGCAAATTAGAAGATAGAGAAGCAGGAAGTGGGGAGCAGCTCGGCGGATTCCCAACTGTCTGTTCCGTGGTTTCCAAGATAAGTCGGTGCGTGCGCTACCCTGCTCCATTTACAAGCTCCCTTGTCCTCGCCGAGGGGGAAGGAGGAAGGTTTGTGCACCGACGCGGTGTGGTCACTATTGGTATTCTTTCATCTGTTAGGATATTTTGCTTCATTGTGTCATCCAAGCAAGATGAGCACTTTAAAAAAATATTTCATTATTAACTACTTGTGTTACTTTGAAATAAAAACAGAAGAAGGGACAGCCCGGGAGGAGCAAGGGACAGTAGGGCTGGAGCCCTCGGGACAGGCCTTGCCTTCCGTGCAGCCCCCACGATACCCAGGACAGCTTCTTGGGGCCCTTGATGGGAGGTGGGAATGCACGCACTTTGCTAGGCTACTTGGAGCAAGACATCACGAGGCTTTTTTGAGCCCCGAGCAGGGTGTCCCGGGGCTTGGGTCCCCAGGAGAGTGCTGGTCAAGGGCAGCTGTGTGTCTTACTTAGGGCTGTAGGGCGCTATCAGCTGAGATCCAGAGACGTGGTTCCCCACGCGGCCCTGAGGCAGGGCAGGACACCCTGCGGCCACAGAGGCTAGTGACAGGGCAGGGCGATCCTTCTGGACAGTTTTCCTTGCTGAAAGTGAACGTGAAGAGTGCTTAGGCCAGCGGGGAGCTCAGAGAGCCCCGTGAGAGTGCTGGGGGCCCCTGGCAGGGAGCCCTTAGGAGCCGCGCCCTCCTCTGCCCAGGCCAGTGGTGGCTTTTCCTGCACTCAGGCCACAGTGGGGCGTGCACAGCATGGTCCCCGTGAGCTCTGCCTGTGTGTGGTGAGTGAAAGGCGGATGAGGAGGTTCCAGCTGCAGGCGGGCCAAGCAGCAGGCTGGCGAGGGGGCGGGTGGGGTGGTTGGGCAAGAAGCTGCCTCCCACACCCCTTCCCAGGCCAGGATGGAGGCCCAGAGATGCACCCCGCCCCCGGGAACCCCATGCACAGAAAGACCACTGGAAAGGGAGGGGAAAAGATGGGAGGGCCTGCTGTCTCCCCAAGGAGCCGTCCCCCTGTCCCATTGGGACCCAGGAGCAGATCCCTTCTAGCACTTTCCGTTTTCCACCCTGCCGCCGTGGGCCCTCAGATCCCCCTCAAAGCGCTTTCCACCGGCTGGCTGCCCGAGGTCACCTGACACGACCCGCTGGCACTGGGTTGCCTAAAGACTGCAAGCAGAGCACGCCTCCCTCCTGGCCCCTGTCCTCGCAGGCCCTCTCCTGGCCTGCCCTCCCATCCCTGTCCTCTTCCTTCTTCTCCCACTGCTTCTGGTTCTGTTTTCTTTCTCCAGAAGAAAAGCTGTCCTCTGGCCACCTGCTCGTGGACTGCTGAGGTCACCACCCAGCCTCGAGGTCCCCCAAACATTTTCAAAGGCAGAAGGGAAGACAAAGCCACTCTCTAGGGATTCCTTCTGGGTGTCAGCCTGCAAAGGGCTCCCACTTCTAGCCGTGACTGCTCTCCCAAGGGCGACCACGTGAAGGCTCCAGGTCAGCTCCGGGTCAGTTCATTGGAGTCGAGACTTGGTGACTGCCTGGGGCAGATCATGAGGCCCACCATGCCACTCCTCAAGGGACAGGAAGAAGAATAGTCACATGACAAAGTCACCTGAGTGCACGGTGAGCAGTATCAGGGGCTGGAGGAAGTAGGTGGAAGGGGGCCGAGCAGGGGCCAGATGCCGAGGTGGAACAGGGCTGACTCCAGGCCACCGGTCCCTCACCACCACCGCCCTGCAGGCCCATCTGCACTGTGGCTCTGCGCCTCTGCTCAGGACTCTTCTTGGCCTTGCTTCGGGGTGGCCCGAGGACAAAAGAAGCCAACAGTAGGGCTTTTCTGGCTAACAGAATCCTGAGTCTCAGGGCGGGGCCCTGGCGACTATTACACCTTCCCCACGTATTCTGAGCACCTTATGGCTTCTGTGTCCCCCACCTGACCTCTCCTCCTCCTCCTCCTCTTCCTCTTCCTCTCTCCTGCTACTGCCAATGTTCTATTCCTCTCTGGTTGATCTTCAGAGAGCAGGTGAGGGCCAGAAACTGCAGCTGGTGGCAGCCAGCGACTTGCCCCAGCCTGACACTGTCCCATGAGACTCCGGAGGTCCAAGAAGGCAAAGTCACCTGTCTCCCCACACACTGTCCTGCACCAGCTCCTCATCAACTCTCCCCAACGATGGAGGGCTGCTCGTGGCTCAGCCTGTCCCAGGTCCCCAGGCCTCGAGCTCACATCCTCTGAACCATCCTGTCTATGCCTTTACCCCTCAGCGCCCTTGCCCTGAGCCACAGATCCTCTTTCCCCCCACATTCATCTATCAACAAGCCAGAGGACTTTCTTGCAACAGCTGAGAAGAATGGAGCCTAGCACATAGTAGGTGCTCAATAAATATTTGTCGAATTCACGAATGCATAGCACAGGGCTTAGCCTAGCTGATTTTCCTCTCTGCCCCAGTAGCACCCTGCCTAGACAACGTACCGGTTTCCGTGAGGAGAAGCCAGAAGGCGCTCAGAATACATGGGGAAGGCAGGGGTGGACAACAGACCTGGAAAGGGCCAGCCCCAGGCCCCTCCTGGCTCCAAAGCCAAGGCCTGCCTCTCCCTGGGCCGCCCGGCTGTGACAGAGCAGAAGGTCTGCCGGCCCACTGGCCCTTACGTCTCGTTCTGAGTTTGCTGTAGCTATCAGGCCCTGTCCTCTTTCCTGGCCTTCGCCTGTCCAGGTGGCCACGGACATCGGCATGAACGTCCTTCCGCATCGTCCAACAGCGCCCTGACATCCCCAACAGGCCCCTCGTCCTTGTTTTAGGGTGATCCTCTGCCTCAGCTTTGGGGCGCCCGTGACCCTTCTCACCCCCACTGACCGACCTTCAGAGTCCTGTTAGCTCTGCCCTCTCCTCCACCCGGCCCTCTGGCCTCTATCCAGAGCCCTCTCTAACTCCAGGGCTCTTGCAGTCTGCCGGGGACTTGCCCGCCCTCCCGCTCCTTCCCGGTGGCGGCAGCCTGAGGAGGCTGAGCTCCTGGAGCGCCGGAGTCCCTCTGCAGCCTGATGCCCTAAAACCTTTCCTTTTCCATTTTATTAGGGAAGAGATAATGTACATTTATACAACAGCAACACAGTAAGCGTCCCTGGGCCCCGGACCCCATCCTCCAGAGGAAACAGCACTGACAGGGAGACAGGCCTGTCCCCCCGGAGCGGCCTGCACAGGAATACCCTGGCACCGTGTGCACTGACGAGCCTATCCCAAAGGCACACGGTGCCAGCCATGCTGCGGCCGGCTTTGTTCCCGGGTTGGGTCGGTGCACACGCTCCACGGAGGTGGTGCTGTGTCCCACGGTGCTGTGTCCCCACGAGTGCAGCCATTCCAACGAGCCACCCCTTGGGACACTTTGGCTCTTAAACTTCCTTGCGTGGGCATCCCCAGGAGCCTGGGGGTCTTCTTGTTGGGAAGAGTCCCCGGAGCAGAGCTGCTTTCCACGCTGACATGCCAGTGCGGAGAGTGGACCCTCCCCACGGCCACCCCAACCGTCCTCCCCCGCCTGCACTGACCTGTCCCCCCCCACCCTGTGAACACCGGTCCTCTCTCCCAGGCCCCTCTGTCTTCTTCGAGCTCGCTTGTGCCACTGCCCTCCTCTGCAGCTCGGTCTTCTTTCACGGGTGCCCAAGGAACAGAGCAGCCTGCAGCCTCACAGGGGCTGCCCAGTCAGAGAGGAGCCAGCAGTCCCTTCATTCACACGTTCTGCAAATATTTATTGACTGTCTGTTAAGCACTGGAGGGGCTGGGGACGGCAATGGGGAGCCGACCCAGGTCCTCTCAGCCTGGAAGAGGAGCGACATTCACATATGCCAGGAGGGGGGGTGGCTCGGGGACCGTCCCCAGCAGCTGTGGGTGTGGCCCTGAACCGGAGATCTGAAGGATGGACCGAGGTGCAGTGGGTGCAGGACGGATGGCCCTGGACGGCAGGGAGCGAGGGTCACCCCAGACTCCAGCAGACAGGATGAAGTTTGATCGTTAGCTGAGGGCGTGGGGAGCCTGGGTGATGGGGGGTGTAGGGAGCTGGGTGCTTTGTGAGATTCCCAGGCGTGACCTCACCTACATTTCTAGCTGCTGACTGCCCCTGTGAAACCTTGAATTTCCCCTTGAATTTCCAAGGAAGACAAATGCACCGCACCCCCTGCTTCTGTCCTGTTGTCCCCACATCCATACCTTTGCAGAAGCCAGGCTTTCCCCTAGATCAAGCAGCGTGAGGCTAAGCACCCCAGTAACTAGGGATTCTTCAGATGTGCACGTGCACAGCCCTGTGGACAGTACAGGTCCACGGCACCAGCACTGGGAACCCTCAGGCCCTTTCCCACCAAGTACTAACCACTAAGCCTCCCCTGCACAGACCAAGGCTCCTTGGCCAGAGCCAGGACTCTTAACTTTGACCCGGGAGAGAAGAGGAGGAGCTCCAGAAAGGAAGCGCCTGCTCGTGACAGCAGCCTTTCTCTGGAGATTTTGGTTCTAAATGAGTGGAACAGGAGCCCAGCAATTACCCTTGTCCAACCGAGGACCTCCACATGGTTCTGTTCCATTTCAAAACCTCTGATCAGAGGGAAAGCACTATTGTATCAGAGGAGAGTGTACATTAAAGCCAGACCCTTTATGAAGGATGAAAACACTGAGGTCAATTCCTGGTACCAAAAAAAAAACAAAAAACAAAAAACAAAAAACGAAGCACTCAGTCACTGCTGCCAGAAACCACATGTGGGCAGGTGCTGGACTCCTGGCAACTGTGTGGGCCCAGCTCCCAGTGGGGGCCAGCTGGTGGCCTTGCCTCATCCAGGCTGCACCCAGCTTAAGGTCTCCAGGGCCCTGAGTGCCAGAGGGGACTGTACCCAGTGACCCGTCAGGGGCACAGCACTGAGGGGCAGGGTGGGGGGCAGCAGCACCCTGGCAGCTTCTCTGCCCAGGCTGCTTGCATCAGCCCATGTTTGCAGTACACGGGATGTGCTCCTGTCCCCAGGGAACTGGGGCATGTGCGCGACACATTCGAATTATTTTTTCATCCCCTTTCCCTCCCCTCTGCCCCTCCCTGCATTTCTTGATCCCTTCTGTTCCCTTTTCTCTATATTTGACTCTGTATTCACTTGTTTATACTTTGGGCTTCTCATACAAGAGAAACTGTGCGATGCCTTGGTTTGTGTGTCTGATCTGTTTCACTGAACA